ACAAGAACCAGCATGCTATGAGGATGCCAAGTCTGATCAGAAATGGAGAGCTGCAATGGAGGAGGAGATTCGGATGATAAACAAAAATGGAACTTGGTCTCTCGTCAATAGACCAGAAAAGAAGAAGGTGATAGGGGTAAAATGGGTTTACAAGACCAAATTTAACCCCGATGGTTCGATCAACAAGCATAAAGCAAGGCTTGTTGTAAAAGGGTATGCTCAAGAATGGGGGGTGGATTATTCAGAAACATTTGCCCCTGTTGCTCGGTTGGACACGATCAGATTCTTGTTGGCTGTATCTGCACAAATGAAATGGAAGGTGTTGCATATGGACGTCAAATCAGCATTCCTGAATGGGGAATTAAAAGAGGAGACGTTCATTGAGCAACCCGAAGGTTTCAAAATCGAAGGAAATGAAGATAAAGTGTATTTGCTGAAAAAAGCGTTGTATGGTCTCAAACAGGCTCCAAGAGCCTGGTATGAGAGGATTGACCAGTGTCTTCAAGGTCTGAAGTTTGTCAGAAGCCTGAGTGAGTACACGTTGTACACCAAGAAAGGAGGAGGAGGGTTGACAGTTGTTTCCTTGTATGTTGATGACCTGCTAATAACTGGAGATGATAATGCAGAAATTGAAGACCTACAGGGTTTGCTGAATAAGGAATTCGAGATGACAAACCTTGGTCTCATGTCTCAGTTCTTAGGACTCGAAGTTCAACAGACAGAAGGTACGATTTTTATTGGACAACAAAAGTATCTTAAGCAGATTTTGACAAGATTTAATATGGAGGATTGCAAGAGTATGAAGACACCACTTGATCCGAAGGTGAAGTGTCAGAAATTTGAAGGAAGTGAAGCAATAGATGAAGGATTGTACAGAAGCATGATTGGATGTCTGATGTATTTAACAGCTTCAAGACCAGATATCTTGTTTGCTGTTAATATACTATCACGATACCTCTCATGTGCTAAGAAGGAGCATATGATTTCTGCAAAGAGGGTACTTAGGTATCTGAAAGGAACTCAGAACCTGGGTATCAGATTCAGATCGTGTCAAGAATTTGAGCTAGAAGGATATGCTGACAGTGATTGGGCTGGATCAAGTGAAGACATGAAGAGTACTTCAGGTTTTTGTTTTTCACTGGGTTCAGGCTGTTTTTCATGGAGTTCAAAGAAGCAGAGCATTGTCGCACAGTCTTCCGCTGAAGCAGAATTCGTAGCTGCTACAGAAGCAGCAAAGCAAGCTATTTGGTTGAGGAAACTCTTGAAGGATCTTGGGTTGGAATGTATCAGACCGACAAAGATGATTATTGACAATCAAGCTGCAATTGCCATTTCACACAACCCTGTGTTTCATGGCAAAACGAAGCACTTCAAGATTAAGTATTATTTTCTGAGGGAGGTTCAAAAAGAAGGAGAAGTTTCCATGGTTCACTGCAGAACTGAGGAGCAGAAGGCAGACTTATTTACAAAGTCGTTTCATCCAAGCCGGTTCGAGTTGCTGAAACAGATGATAGGAATGTGTTCGAAGGCTCAAGCCAAGGAGGAGAATGTTAGCAAGTAAATTGGATGGCTCAAGCCTTTACATGAAGAGAAGGAAGTCTGAAATTAAGTCTGGATAAGATAAAGCAGTTAGTTTATGTTTCAGTTACGTGTCAGTTATTTATTCAGTTTGGTTTGTAAGTTATATATGTATGCAAGACTTGTGAAATATATATGATGTTTTCTGGATATCTCTGTTCTAGATTTCCTGGGTTTTTTTATAACAGAGTAAGAGTAGAAAAAGAAAGATTTACAAACGGGAAGGAGAAAAAATATTCCTTACACTTATGCGGCTTCTTTTAAGTTATCAGCATGCATTTGAGACTTTAAGATGTATATTGGCAAATTTAATCAAGCCAGAATGGAACTCTGATAAAAGGAAGGCACTATGAGACGGTGACGATGCCAAATTTGATGTAAAAATGAGACACATGCTTAATAGAAGGAAAGAGATGGGAGATATGTTTTCACAACCAATTGTTGTGAATTTAGAAAAAGAGTAATCAGTTTTCACTGATCTATTTTAAAATATCAATTATCTCTTGCTCCCATTTTCAATACATATGGAGCCTGCTAATCCAGTTTGCGAATCTTAACGTTTAATCAAAATAGTTTGTTGTTTTTTTAGAGTTGACAAGCAAAAAAAAATTTTATTCATGTTCATAATATTTTATTAATTATAGAGATTAGTGGTGGTAAAATTGTTTACAAGTTTAAAAACAACATATATTGATTTTTTCATGTTTGAACAATATAATCGATAAATTTTATAATACTATATCTTTAGCTATCTTTTCTATGCATACAATATATTTATAAAATTTATCATGTATGTTTATAAATTTTATTTCAAGACACGTAAACTTATGATCAAAGATGATTCGATAGTGAATGTTTGTATATAGTGGAGCCTTGAAGCATTAGTATGACATGTGTAATGCCCTTCGGTTAAATGAACCCCGAATAAATTATATATATTCGTCTATGGACCGATGATGGACTGAGCTTTGGAAAAGATATACTTCAAATTCCTATTTACATTCCAAAGTTAAATTAGATATTAATATGCTAATAAATTTGCTTGATCCATATAGCTCTTGGATTCATTTTTATTATATAAAAGTTCATTTTGATCATAGTCTTACATATTAAAATGATAATATTCTAAGAAAATCATGTTAAATTTTAACATAAATTTGTTTATACTACAGTTATATATATTTGTAAAATTTAACTTGAGTATAAAAATAATAAAAATGCTCAAGTCTTCTCATCTTATTGAATTTAATTAAATTTTGTATGTTAGAATTATTTACATTTGTAAATATAACTTGGATATAATGGATAAATATAACTTGAATATATGTTAATCAAACAAGGAAAGAAAAATTACATTAACATAAATTATGTATTTATATATTATACATATATGTATAGATTTATTTATTACATTTTTATTTTTTTATTTGATTATTTATTTGATTATTTTATTAATTTTTTATTTAAAATTATAGAATCCGAAAAATATGTTACAAATATATACATATACTAAAATTAAATGAAAAGTTTTTTATAACGACATGTTAAAATTGCAACATTTATAAATACTTAAATTCCTATGAAAGTTTTTGTAGGAGTCATCATCTCCTCCCATGCGAACTCGATAATATAATTATTATGTATATAATATAAAAAATTAACAAAAATATATCGCCTAAAAAATATTTTATGATTTTATATTTTTTGAAAACTGTTCTTGAAAACTTCATTTGTAACTATCTCAAATATATCTTTTTTGATAAAACAAAATAAATAAAACATCACCAATCTGATTGCCCAAAATTATTTTCACAAAATTCATTGTTAAAACACATCTTTTAACCGACGCATTGATAACAAACAAATTCAAAGTAATTTTAAAATCTGTATACCAATGAATATAAAAAAAAATATTATTTTATTTTAACCAAAAGATGGACAAGATCTCCAAATTTAGCCAAATTAGAAATTTTGATATTTTTTGGTCAAACAATCGATGTAGATACTAAATTCATGTCGTAGAGACACTGCTCCGCAAATCTCAAGTCATCTGGAGCCAATTTCGCCATATCCGAAATTATCCAAATCAATTTGTTTAGGTATTGAGAGACCTAAGAATTTGATACATTATTGATTGAGTTTTATAACTATCTATAGATATCGAATCAAAGTTTTTTTTGAAAAATTTAACCATTGATTTCTCTACCAAATCAGATATAAGAAAAAATAAATATATATAATAACAAATTTATATATATAATCAAAACATATAAACTGATGAAGAAACAAAACATAAACTTACTTTTAAAAGTTATAATATTTACATACTTTTAATTTAACTATTCTTTATTTTTTGTATTATGATTGAATATTAGATTGTGGATAGATTTTTATAGAATTCAGTTAGATGAAAGATTTAGAAAACATATGTAATTTTAACATAAAGAGTAAAAAAAATGGTGTATGATCTAATTTTTAAGAAATATATTTTTTTTTAAAATAAGGAGTGGGAGGAATGAGGGGGCCAGAAACAAATTTAGTGCGGACATTTTTCTACATGTTTTATTAAAATTTTATTAAATTATAAATAAATTAAAATTTTATTTTTTATTTAAAAGGATGGGGAAATGAAATCGACACTAATATGTGGGTTTGCTCCTATTTTTTAGTTTTAAATTCATTCTTTTCATTTTAGATTCAAATTTTGAGCTTCCATTCTTTTTTAATTATGCTTCAATATACTTTTATGATTAAGAATTATTTTTATTTGTAAAAAATTTTAAATCATATCAAGAAAACGTTGTTGATGCAAGATCAGAGATAATTGGATGAAAGAAGTATAACCGAGCTATTCCGATTGATTCCAGTACACAAATTGCAATATGTATGTGTGTGTATATACATATATATTATATAGGATCAATGCATATTTGTTGTAACAACCCAGTTTTCAAAAAAAAAAAAATATTTGGACCGTCTGGTCTAGAGATCCCGGACCGGACGGACCATGACCAGACAGGAAGGTCCGGAACGGACGGACCAGGCAGTCCGGAACGGACATACCAGATTGTCGGCAGCGATTTTCGTCTGGATCCATCCTGAAAGCGACTGGTGCGCACCAAATCCCGACCAAAAGTCCGATTTTCTCGACCCTAAAGACCGTAGGACGCGATTTTTCCACCCTGGGTCCGGATTTCTACCAAAAATTCGACTAATTCGAGCTCTATTTAGCCATCTTCTTCCTCTTCATTCTTCCTCAACCTCAGAGCCGAATTCTCTCTGAAATCCGAGAAACTCACGTCCTTACTTGCTTCTACAGTCCAAGAGGAGCATCACCAAACCCCCTATCCGTCACCCAGAACACGAGATTAACTTGAGGTGAGTGAATTCGAGTTTAATTCGAAAGTCTGTTGACATGGGGTTTGGGTTTTTGTGTGTTTCGTGTAAAATTGATGTTTGATTTGTGTTAAATATGAGATTTTATGAGTTTTAGTGTATTACCCATAGTGAATCGTGCATGTTTGAGTGTTTTTGATGAAATCCGATGACTAGAATGTCCGGTCTGAGGTCAGACCGTCCGGTATAGGGTTGCGGAAGAAAACACGAAGTCTAGAGGTTGAAGACGTCTGGACCGTCCGTTCTAGACAGTCCAGATCGTCCATTCTGGAGATGTTGGACCGTCCGGTCTGTAACGACCCAAAATCCGATATTTCGGATATCGTTGAATCGTCACTTGGGTTATAAAAAAAATTCGATTTATTCTAAAATCAACCATCAAAATCAGACTTTACAGCGGAAGTCTAAAACAATGAATTTCAATAACTTAAGTCTGAATATTTATTTCATGAATAAATTGAATAAAGAAAATAGAAGTTCTAAATCTTCGTCTTTCTGACAAACTACCGAATCCAACCAAAATATTCTGCTTCACCTTTCACCTGTGGAGAAAAAGGAAGGGGTGAGCTACGCGAATAGCTCAGTAAGATTGCAAGACTATAAACCTCGCCTCCGTACCAAGAATAGACAATCAAATAGAAAACAAATTCAATCAACATTCAACTCAAACAAAACTCAATCTATCGATTCACGTTCTTCTCCTAACTTTTCTTTGTTCGATTCTTTAAAACGAGTCCAAATTCTAGAACCATTCAGTACCCCTCAGACTTAACTTAAAACTCTTTTATAAGACAAAACCAAAAAATATCTTTGTAACCCTCTACGAATCGCCGCCGTAGTCGGGGTTACCAAAACACGACCAATAGTAATAACCATCTACGGTCGCCGCCGTAGTCAGGGTTATCACTCCACATGGATCGCCGCCATGCCCGGATCGTTATGCCATCACATACGGATCGCTGCCGTACCATGACCTCAAAACTCAACCAATAGTCACAACCCTCTACGGATCGCCGCCGTAGTTGGGGTTATAACTCCACATGGATCGCAGAAAGAGGAGTTCTGTCGAGTTCCCTCACCTTGGTCTAAACGATGAACTCTGAAAGATTCACTCTAATCCTCGATCCCGGGTTCAATAACCTCGAGTTTTTTTTCACCTATAATTAATTATCATATAATAAATTTAATCAACAAATTATTTTTCAAAAATATTTACTACCGAAAAAAAAACGTTATTCAAATGGTAAATCTTATGGTTAAACTGTTTTATTTTAAATCTTTCGAATATCTCCAAATACTTTGAATTTTACAAAACGGATTTCGGATTTGAAATCACGGGATTGAAACGATTCAACCCATGTCACCGGAAAATTTTCCGGCGACGGTGGCCGGTGGCGGTGGTCGGTGGCCGGTGGCCGGCAGCGGTCATATATCCTGGAATCATCTAATTTTTCCGTATCTTATGTAAAATCACTCAATGAATCCAAATCCGAAGTTATTTTGCCTAAATCGAACTACAATTGCCTAAAACTTGATTTTTCTCCGATGTTTCCCAGTGATTTTTTCGGTGACGGTTCACTGTTTTCGGTGACGATACTACCCAAGAAAGATTCAGCTCGCCAAGAGCTTCCAAACCCCTCAAGTCTCGCCCAAAACCGAGCTTCCGTTCACCGGAAATCTACAAAGTTCGTTGACAATGGAGGTGAAAGAAAAACGACGAAAGAGATAAGAAAGTAGCATGGAAACGAACCAACGATGATGGGGCGGTGACAATAGGATGGTGGTAGGCGTTCAAAAGATGTCCAAGGACTCAAATCGGAGCAAAAATCTTGTTTGGGAGCTTTTTGGTTCGGCCATGGAAGGAGGAGAAGGAAGAAGAAGAAGAAACCCTAGCGAAATTGCAGTCCAGTCCTATATTTTCTGAAATTTATAAATTATGCCCAAACTTTTATTTCGTATTAAAAGGCCCTAACTGAAATAACAGATTTTTCCAGAACTTTTAATTTTATCACCTTACCCCCAATCTCTTATTTTTATTTTTATATATATTTTTTTTAAATATTTCGTTCGTTATAATTCCACCACCTTTAAAAGAAGAATTCGTCCCGAATTCTAGAACTACTTAGTATGGTATGTATGATTTTTCTTACCAAAAAGGCGGGGATAACGAGCCTTCATGTCGTCCTCCAATTCCCAAGTCGCATCTCCTCCCTTGTGGTGTGTCCCCGTGACCTTTACTAGAGGAATTTCTCTTCTCCGCAGTTGTTTAACCTTTCGTTCAACAATTTCGATAGGTTCTTCTTCATAAGTCTCATCTGGTTTTAACTCAAGCGGTTGATAATCAATAATGTGATCAGGGTCAGGATGGTACTTCCGAAGCATGAACACGTGAAACACATCATGAACTTGTGCCAATTCGGGGGGTAAGGCAACCTTATAAGCCATTGCTCCTATCTTACTCAATACCTTGAAAGGTCCAATGAATCTGGGTTTTAGTTTTTCCGTCATTCCGAAGCGTGTTTTTCCTTTAGTTGCTTGTACTTTGAGAAATACTTCGTCATTCTCTTGAAAAGTTATGTCACGTCTATGTTTATCCGCGTAACTTTTCTGTCTATCTTGTGATGCCTTCATCTGTTTCTGGATTACTTTAATCTTGTATGTGGTTTCATCCTCTATATCAGGACCTAACAATCGTCTTTCTCCAACTTCTGTCCAACAGAGAGGTATCTTGCAAGGTCTTCCATATAACGCCTCAAAGGGTGACATCCCGATACTTGAATGAAAACTATTATTGTAGGCGAATTCCACAAGTGGTAAGTGACGATCCCATTATCCTCCCCAATCCAATACACACGCACGTAACATATCCTCTAGCGTTTGTATCGTTCTCTCTGATTGTCCATCGGTCTGGGGATGATAAATTGTACTCAATCGTACCTTAGTGCCCATAGCCTCTTGTAAACTGTTCCAAAATCTCGAAGTAAATCGTGGATCTCTGTCCGACACGATACTAATAGGGATTCCATGAAGTCTTACCACCTCTTCTATGTAGACCTGTGCTAAACGAGGCATTGAGAATGTCTTTTTAATCGCGATAAAATGTGCAGACTTAGTTAAACGGTCCACAATAACCCATATCGCATCATTTCCTTTTGGTTTCCTTGGCAAACCAACTATAAAATCCATCGTCACCAAGTCCCATTTCCACTGAGGTATCGATAGCGACTGTAGTTTTCCTGCAGGTACTTGGTGCTCGGCTTTAACTAGCTCACACGTTAGACAATGAGTAACAAACTTTGCAATATCCTTTTTCATGCCATGCCAAAGAAAGTATTGCTTAAAATTCCGATATATCTTTGTAGTACCCAGATGTATGGAATATCACGTATTATATGCCTCTTTCAATACTTCTTTCCTCAACTCTTCATCTTTAGGCACATAAACACGATCTCTCAATAGTATCAACCTATTATTGGAAGTGGAATAACCTGCCCTTGTAAAATCTTCGGCTTTTCCAACAATTCTTTCATCTTTTCATCTGTTTCTTGAGCCATCTTCACTTTTTCCAGCCAACTATCCCATTTTATAGCACTAGTTTCTAACCCATCTCGATTTTTTTTTGTTTTAGCTGATATCTGCATTAAACTCAATTGAGTCGTTAGATCACTTGCCAATCTCAAAGTAGATATCTCAACTTTCTTTCTACTCAAGGCATCTGCAACCACATTAGCTTTGCCAGG